CCCCACCCCACCCCACCCATCATCTCTCCCCCCTATTTTCCTCCTCGAGCCCCGAGACGCAGGCGACAGCGCAGCAGGCAGAGGCAGCAGCGGACGGGAGGAACCGGGCTCCCCCTCCCCCCCTCCGCTCCTCGTCCCTCCCTCCCACGCCGCCGATCGGCCGATCGGGAGGAAGGAAGGGGGCCGATCGGGAGGCGCTGCGCCGGACGCACGGACGGCGCTCTGGGTCCGTACGTTTCTTGATTCCCCTTTGCCCCTGCTTTGGTCTCCGGCGTCGTCGTAGTGGGGGAGGAGCGCGGGTGGTTGTGCGGAGAGGAGTGGTTGGTTCTTGGAGGAGCGGGACGGCGGGTCTGGATTGGGGGTGCCCGGATGGGGTCGATTTGCGGGCCGGCGCTGCGGGGTGCTGAGATCTGCGCGGGGCGGATCTGGGGGCCTCCGTTCCTCGGGGTCTCGCGGGTGGATTGGTCCGAATTTCGTCGATTCGGGGTCTGTTTTGTGGTAGGAGAGGATTCCGTGGTGAAAAAGTGAATCTTTGCTCGGGGTAGACAGGATAAGGCGCTCGACCTATGCTTATTCGTGGTCGTGTTCCTAGAAGGCTGTCGATGTGCTACCTAACCTAGTCTGTATGTAATCTTGCCCCGAGGTCTAGAGATGGGCTGCACGCCTTGGGGGCATGGGACAGGCACGGGATTTTGGTACAAGCCCATCCCTTTACAGGGTCACAAACAATCGGAGCTGTTCCAAATTATTGCGTTTGCCGATTTTGACTTGTTACTTCTATGACTTGTTATGTGCTTATGTGATTCCATTTCCATTCCGGACAGAAACTAATTAACCTGTGATGCTCTCTTTTCTAGGCTGAAGCCAGGGAGACAGTTTCGTAGCCGGAGGCTGCAAGGGCTTCCATCATTTGTCTCTGTGATTCGTTGCTGCTCTTGGACTTGAGGTATGTATGTATGCCACCTGCATCCCACATTGCTCCTTCTGGTTATAATGGTGATGTATTTGGAGTGGTGTTTATTTATAGAGTTTCCTGCAGTGTAATGACTCTACTTGATCTTGATGTATAGAAACATGGTAATTTATAGTATGATTTCGATGTACATGTACATGGTCCTTTTGTATTTGCCGTGCTGAGGCCAAATGTTTATTGCCATTTGACCAGTATAAGCGATTAGTCCTGTGCATCCTGTATTAAAGTTTTTTTTTACTTTTATCTGTATTCAACACACAATATACAATGGGTACAGTCCTATTTGATTCAGTATTTTATTTTGTATGACTTGTCTCTCGGCATTGGTTGTGAGATTCTTATGGGTTTCAGCTCTAGCCTACCCCAACTTGTTTGGGACTAAAGGCTTTGTTGTCTCTCAGCATTCTAGACAAATGTAGTTGCGTCGTTGATCCTCTCTCCTCTGTTTAGTAAGCTGTAAAACTAGTCTTGGTAATGTGGGGTCCGTCTTGCACATGCATATATTAGTTAATGGATATGCTTCAAGAAACCTCAGCAAAGTAGGTGCACAGTCTGCACATAGTTTATTGTTGTTTCTGTTATTTCTGCACCTGCTATATGTTGTGACTGTTCCTTACTATTTTCCATCTGTCCTATTTGCCAGGATTATCTACTTCAAGTTTCAACCGTTGCTTATTAGCGAGTGATTGTTTATTCTACTGAAATCATTTGAGCTCCTCATCAAGTCACCAAGGAACACAGGTTTTGATGCAACATAATAGGGTCACTATGCTGTCTTCCTCGGAAACATGCCACCTTGGTTCTAGTTCCAACAACCAGGCTATCGATCAGCAGAACCCTGCTGTTGATGAGCATAATCTACTTCCTGATACCCTAGAGAGTGAGAACTACCCACACTATGTTCTCAATAGTCATGAGGTGGGAATGCCAAGTGGAGGCATGATTGGTCAGCAAAATACAAGCTTGAGTTTGTGGGATTCACCTGGTTCTAGCTCCGCGGGCTTCCTAGCCGATCATGATAGCCTTTTACAGGCCAAAAGGGAACATTTTGCACCTGCTTTGTCTATAGGCGGCCCTTTAATCATCGAAGGGAGAAGACGAGAAAGCAGTAGTTCATTGCCTTCACACAACTTAAACATAGACCTGAACATTAATCAGGCTGATCAATTTGAGACCGGGAATGTTGATATGGTTCAGAGTAATGGACACTCTGGAATGAATACTTATCCTCCGAATAGAGGTCTTTCGACCACTGAAAATGTTCTTCGTCGTGAAATTTCTCCTGGTGCTATAAGAAGTTCCTTGCATTCTGCAAACTTTTTTGATGGTACAGCAGGCCAAGAAACCGGTGGAAGTTCTTCACATACTGTGAACCATTTTCGGTCATCTATCAAGAGAAAGAATGTTGCTGGAAGTCTCGGAGAGTCTTCTGCCAATGGGAGTTCACGCAATCATTGCCAAAACAATGATATGCTGCTACCTTCGCTGTCCAGTCATGAAAGTACTGCTAATTTAAATATGACCTCTGTAAACTATGGTTTTTCATACCCTCCCATGGAGCAATTGGACCAGAATACTGATACCTCAGATGATGACATTTTTTCTGACCCTTATACACTATCTGGTCATCTGCATGAAAGTCAAAGATTCCTGAGAAATACCCGGATGAGAATAAGCGCCAATGAGTATGAGCAATCACTTTCTAATCTGCTGCCTGAGGAAAGTTTCAGGTGTTCAGCTCATCAGCCTGCGCGGCAACAGTCTTCTTTTACGCCAGTGCAACCTAGAGGAGTGAGTTCTTCAGCAAGTTCTCAAAATCGTCCTCATGTACCTGCTGTTGCTCAATTCTCGCAAAGTCTGCAGCGACATCCATCAAATGGTAATTTCGGCTCAAGAGCAGGGAGTTCTGCTGATACAATAAATCCGACACCTGCTTCACAAGATCCTGGTAGCAGCCTGGCAAGAAGCAATCTCCCTGAGCCCTTTATGCTAGGTCCGTCGTTGTTTACTACTGATTCAACAAACTTGCTATCTGCACCCGGAAGCAGAAGTAACCAGCAAAATCCCGGCTCCAGCTCTACACTTCGAGCTGCTGCAAATGTAGGACCCCAACAGGTTCCTGGGTTGAATTCATCTCAGCCAAGTTCAGCCGCAAGAGGTTCAGCTGATGTACCCAGGAGAGCCTCACTTGCTGCTAGTGTTTCTCATTCCAGAAGTCCAAGTATTGCATTGCAGCACCGTGGGCATTCATCTTCATCACACGAGATTCGGAACCATCAACCAGGATCAAGCGCTCGTGCAAGTCTGCAACACTACTCCAGGGCAGTTCCTCCCTCTATTGATAGGCAAAACCCAGGTTACTTGGACCTTCAGTCTTTTATGCAGAGCATCGCTGCTTCAAGAGAAGGAAGCAGGACGGTCTCAGAGGTATGCTTCCCTGGAGTAATTCCATCTAATATTCTTCCGTTCTTACTAAGCACAGGTGTGGATATGTAGTTCCATATTTATCTTAAATTGATGATGTGCTGCAAGGAAAGTTCCCTTTGTCTATCTCTGTTTTTTTACCTTCCTTACTATGTTTCTCAAAGAGGATATTATTTTCATTTGCTGGCTAATAACCCGCACTAAAATCCACTTTTCAAGTGAAGTTTATTTCCGTGTGAGCTATTTCATTTTCTTGCCTTGCGATTTGCACTTGAATTATGAACTATTTCTTATCTGGCAATATCCCCACTTGAATTATGAACTATTATCTGGCAATATCCCCACTTGAATTATGAACTATTTCTTATAAAGTTACTCAACCTTTCCTTTCCTTTGTTGGTCTATGAACCTATCCTTGAATATCTCTACAATGTATTAATTATTTCCTACTGTAGATGTGTTCCGCTGTTGCAAATGGCTTTTTTTTTTCTCTTACCTGCTCTGTAAGGTAGTTTGCAAATCAAATGTAGCTTCGGTACCTCTGAGCTGATACCGGGATGACTTCAGAATCTTCTGAATTCAGCATTTTCCAGTAATCTAATAAATTTATTACTTACTTTTTCTGCTTCTAAAATTTTGCCATATGTTTTTTTCTTGTACAGCTTCGTAATGTGGTTGAACAAATTCGTCAGGGGAGAAGTGCTGCTAGACTGGAGGTGAGAATGGTTTATTTAATACACACTGTTATATTTCAATTAGCTTCTGGATCGGGTGTGAATTATGGAACTTAACCTTCAATTTGCTGAAGTTGCTTTTCATGTTCAATTCTATTGTCTGCGACAACAACTTAGTTTGTTGAACATACTGGTCTCCTGATAACAAATGTGAAACTTGCCTGTATACTTAAACGTAAATGTGTTAGTTTTGCTAAGCAACCAATTTTGTAAGCCCTAAGTTCTTACTACTAGTGCCATACAAATTGTACTCGTCCAAGTACCAATTATTGACCAGATAGTTCATGTTCCTACTTATTGTTTGCCGCTTAACAATATTGGCATTAAAAAGGCAAATATTAAATCTCCAGTGCCAGCTGTTATAGTACAAGTGCCTTTAAGTACAGTCTAAAAGCTGCTAACAATCATAGTACCTCTTTCATTCCAAATAATGAAGTTACCTTTCCCCCTGAATTCAATATTTGGTGAAAGAAGGACGTGCATTGACAGAACTTGTTCATTTGCATCTATGTCATGTACTACGAACCACAATGCTTCCACCACAGGTATCCTTTTTTACACCAGGAATATTTTTTTAAAAAAGGTGAAAGACTGATGGACTGTCATTTAAGATTTGATTATTCGCATAGTTTTCATACTTTCAAGTACACTTAAGGTTCTTCAACGGCAAGTGATGTATATATGTTACTGCTAATATCTATTCTTTTACTGGAATAGCTATATAATAATGGCATTGATGTTTGGGCAGGATTTTCTTGTTGATCGTCAACTTATCAGGAGAGCCAGTTTGGTTGATAGGCATCGTGAAATGCGGCTTGATGTGGATAACATGTCATATGAGGTAATAAACTAGTAGCAGCACCTTCACCCCATTCCTAGATCACAAGTCTGTGTTATCTATCCCTCGGTCAGAAATCCTATCATGGACTGCTCTGATACTGATTTTTTTCCCTTAAATATGTCCATGCCAAGCTTATTGCTTTCCTTTCCATGAAAATAACACCCTGTGACATGGCTTTAAATAAGTACCAGGATATACAATATAAACTTGGGATGAGACGGGCCTGGCCTAGCCCTTGGAACTAGTGATAGGGACAAATAACAATTTGGAAAGCTTTGTACTAGTTTATTCCTTCAGAACTTGAATCAAGGACAGTAATTCCAGGTGGGGACCTGTCACTCTTGGCAGAATCTAACCAGATTCAAGTTTGCTGTTTCAATTTTGATGACCAGTGCTATATCGGCTATGGTCCTAGGCTTTTATAGTTCTCTGTAACTAATTCCTTTATACTACATGTTTGGAGCTGACACGAGTGGTACATTGTAACTAGTCGGCGACCTGAAAGTGTGGTTTAAGTGGTACCATTTGTATGACATTGTTGAATTTGTGTTCAATTACTGCAATTTGCTGTGGTTTATCCAGGAACTGTTGGCACTTGGTGAACGTATTGGGCATGTAAGTACTGGACTCTGTGAGGAGAAAATAATGAGTGGCTTGAAGCAGTGGAAGTATCTCCACATACCATTGGAGGAACCTGCAACAGTTATTGAACCATGCTGTATTTGCCAGGTAATTCAAAAGCTTACATTTTCTTTACTTGCTGCTGTAAATTTGCTTGATTTTAAGTCACTTTGAGAGAACATTGTCATCGTTTAGAACTTTTGAGCCCACATGATTTAACTATTGTTCAAAGATTGTTTTTTAAACTTAAAAATAGCTCGCTCACTTACTGACTGAGCATACCTTATTTCGGTGTTTGCAGGAAGACTATGCCGACGGCGAGGACATGGGCAGGGTGGAGTGCGGGCACTACTTCCACACGGCGTGCATCAAGCAGTGGCTGGTGATCAAGAACACTTGCCCCATCTGTAAAAAGGCAGCGCTGGGCACCTAAACAACCGCCCGCAAGGCTGCTAGCGACGCTCCTGTGGAAATCCGCAGGGATGCCCCCCTCCCCTGTTCCCCCCTTTACTAGACCAAGTGGGTTATAAGCGGCAAAGCAAGCATGCAACACCTCTTTTCCTCCTCCCAAGAAGCAACGTCGTCAAGGGCGCGACGGGCAGGTGGAAATTATACCTATAGGCGGCGGGGTACCACATGGCACCCCTCTTACTGAATGGAAAAGCCGACATTGGCTGTAGTAGACCTGGATGGAGTTGGTTTCTGCTTCTGTTCAAACCTAGATTTGATGATATTCAAAATTTATTGAAATGACATTGTTACATTTTAACCGGGCGGTTAATCTCGTTTCCCTCTTGTGCCTGGCTGTGGTTTGGGTTGAGCTACGTAAGTGGCATGTAAATGGGGATGAAATTAAGCTGTACTCCCTCCGTCCGCCAAAGAGTGGATGTTTAGAGGCCAGCGTTTTTCCCAGAATAAGTGTACGTCTGCGTTGCGCTGGGTACTTTTGCATTCGCCCCCCTGGTCCATGCCTCGAATCACCGCACGCAAACTCCCCAATCCTCTTCCTCTCCCCCAACGATCCTCTCCTCCGATCCAATCCCAAATCGCCGTCGGTCCAACCTCCAATCCAGGGCCTCTCCCTCTCACCCCAAATCGATGGCATCCCGTCCATATAAACAGCCGGCGAGGTGGCGTCCATCGCACTGGAGCCATGGCAGGCGGAGCAGAGGGTGGAGGAGCCAAATCCGGCGATGGCAAGCTAGTCAAGGCCGTCGCGACGGCCGGCGGCGCAGCACGCGACCGCAGCGGATCTGGTTCTGGGGGCCCCATCCGTGCGCGTCCAGGCAGGTTCCGACCGTGGTCGCCCTTGCCCTCGTACGTCAGTCGGCGGCGTCGGTTCGGTGTCGGAGCCAAGATTGTCGACCCGGATGAGGATGCAGTGGGTGATGGTGAAACCGGTGCTGTGGCTAACCAGGACGGCGCGGCGGCAAGTGCTGGGCAAGATGGCACGGCAGCAGGAGTGCGTCCTGGTGCTGACCAGGACACCGCGGCTGCAGGTGCTGGGCATGCCGCCGAGAACACCAGCAAGTAGTACTAGCTCTGTAAGTTTGGCTTGATGCAAATCTTGGCTTTTAGTTACCGGCGTTCAACTTAATGCAAGTCCTAGTGGTGATGTAGAGGGAGATCTAAGTATGGCTGTGTATCCTTAAAATTTCTAGTATGAACAATCTGTAGTGGTTAAATGACAGACATGACTATGATGATCTGTTGCACAAATAAGGTGTTCTCTTGATGAATGAATCCTGATCTCTGAAGTGGTGACTATACTTTCTGTACAGATTTGGCATGAACAGATTTGGCATGAAAATTACTTTGACTATTGAACAGATTTGGCATGAAAATTACACTGACTATTGAAGCAAGAACTATTACAACTTCTAGTCGGCTATGATCTGCATGGCGCTCTCATAGAGTTCGCGGTCACACCCTAAAACATCAGGTAGATTTCCTGTACGCTCTAGGCCATCCTTGTACATGTGAGGGATCTTGTAGTCATTGCCTCCACCTATCTTCATTACCTCAATTAAGCAACTCTGTAGTGTAAGGAAAATCCTGTTTATCTTATCGGCATCATAAGCATGATATTCGTGCTGCACATTGTTGATTAGCTCATCTAAATTATTAGAGACTAGCCTATCTGACATGGATTGTAGTGAAGAAAATAGGCCAAGGTCTAGAGCGTTCATATCCGGTGAGTTCGCAGGCTGTTGCATGAGGCGAATATCAAGCCCAGTTTGGGCAACGGCACTAAGAAAACCTGGGTCATTACTTGGGACATGTGAGGGTGCATTGTCTTGTTGGATCCATATAGTCTCACCAGCAAGCTCTTGAGGCCAAACTGCTTGAATAGCTGGTAGTACCTTTTGAATCAAAAACTCCCTTGACGTATCTCTCCTAACACTGATTGTTTTGGTGATCAACGTCCCTCTTGGACGATTATCACTTTTCCTTGGCGCTGGCTCCTACAACGCAACCAATCAAGCCCAGTTAGATTATGTATGGATGTGTCTAATAAATAAAAGAGTAAAGGTTGAAATTCACCTTTTTGATAAACGGCCAAATGCCTATCTTTCCATCAAAAATACAAATACCTTCTGCATTATATCTAGGCCTGCCTATTACAACCAAAAACATTATTTTTCCAATGGAGTTTTTATTTTGCACAGTCCTATGTGGGTTTTCTTCTGATGGCAGCTTGTAGAATTTCATGGTCTTTTGGGTGGTGTTAAACCACTTTTCATCTAAATGTAATATGTTACGCATGTCCTTGAATGTGGGCTTATTTGGCAAACTTCGCGTGTCAAACATGGAGAGACAATGCCGCAGCCTAGCCTTCATGTTTGCTTCCTTCAAATATGGCTTGAGTGAGCTGGAATGCCTATCTAGCAAGCCTTCTGTAAACATCCTATGTAATGTGCTTTTCTTCACACCCAAAGCTCTTGCAAGACTACGTATAGTTCTCCTTTGACTCCGAGGAATCTCTGGAACCCTACCAAGGTCAACTACAATCCTTTTGCGACCACAATTTTTTGGCTTCCTTGATCGTACATCAACGGGTATGCCTTGTCGAAGACACTCCTTCACCCTCCTCCAAACGCGTCTGACCTTGTACACTGAAACTTGGAACATGTTTGCAACTTCTTTGGTTGTGGTCTTCTTTAATCTCCGGTCGACACTTCTTGCTAGCAATTCTTCATAAATACCAGTCCTTTGCAAATCTGTTAAATTCTTGTATTTGTCTTCATTACGAACTTGTTCATTATCTTCTTGCTCCACATCCATGTCTTCATCTGGTGCTGAATCGTACATGGCTTCATGCGGTTCTGAATCATCAAGCTCTTCTTCGTCAAACTGAATCTCTATATCTCCGGCATACACACCATAGTCCTCCGGGTCAACATGAAGGTTATCTAGAGCTTCATCCATTGCTTGCACTTCCTCTTCCATGCTCTGGAAAAAACCACCGTGGTCTTCAAGTTCATCGTCTACAAGGTGAGGTTATGTGAGTAGTTGAATAAGATCGTAATTAAACATTCAAATGTGCTAACTAAATTGTTTTACTAACCTGATTCATCTGATTCCTGCAGGTCCTCTTCTCCATGGGCAACATCGGCCTCATGTTCCTCTTATCCATGGGCAATGTCGGCCTCATGTTCTACATGAAGACACCATCAGGAATAGCTACAGTATGCAGAAGAATTGAACATGTGCATATGGTCAAGATGTACCATGGTTCATGTTCAGATCGAAGTGATGTCCAGCCAGTGGTACTTCTTCATGCAAGGGAGGCTCATGTTCATCTTCTCCAGCGAATTGATGGCCGGCCTGGAGTACTTCTTCATGCAAGTGAGGCTCAAAACCAACCTGGGGTTCTTCAAGCAAGGCAGCCTCATGTTCGTCCTCTACGGTGAAGAAGAAACATCAGCATGTGCACATGTTCAAGGGGAACAAATGAAAAGATGATCAAGATGTACCTGGGTTCATGTTCAGATCGAAGTGATGACCAAACTGGAGCACTTCCTCATGCAAGGGAGGCTCATGTTCATCTTCTCCCTCTCCTGGTGCTATATTCAAGTCAATGGCCATGGTCTGTGTGTGTTTTGTTTTACTTGGTGCTACTGTGCTGGCTTTATAGCTGGGCACAGACGCTTCATCTACTGAAATTGTAGACTTGGCGCCTCTAATTTCTGTAATCTGGCGCCTCTAATTTTTAGTACTAGTTGTTGCTGGCGGGAAGCACTGTGGCAGGAGCAAAATTCTGTTGGTAAAGTTCTGTTTTACTTCTCCATTCTCATTTACTGCTGCAGGAATCGAAGCAGTGGCAAATGTGTGGCGCCTTAATTGAGTGGTGGGAGGGCTTTTTTTTGCAAAATCCTTATTTTGTCTTAGAAAACCCAGACGTCCACTCTTTGGCGGACGGAGGGAGTAAGCAACTTAGGGAAACAATGTGGATGATGATCCCTTGGCTAGCTATCAAGGAAACAAACGGGTTTAGAACTGAACGCAATGCATTTAAATATCCACTTTGTTGGACAAAAAGAAGGTTGAATTCAGAACCCTACATGTTAGGGATATAACCCCGTGGTATAACCCGCCTTGAAAGGGCCGGTTCAGGCTGATCAAGACGCCAGAGCCAGAGGGGCGGCTCAAAGATGGGCCGGCTTAAGGCCCAAGGCCAGAAGACGGCATGCGGCCTTGAGATGTAAGCCGCCCGATGATGACTTGTCATAGAAGGCAAGGTGACCCGATGATGACTTGTCATAGAAGGCAAGGTGACTTAGAGTTATGATCGGTCACAGATCATGACCCCGACCTGAACTCTTGTAAGCAGGTGGCCTCGACCTGTATATAAAGGCTAGTCCCCGCATAGAATAGGGGCAAGTTATAATCAATCGAGAGCTAGGTCAAGTGAATCTGTTTCTTTGTAATCAATACTCAAGCAATAAGCAGAAAAGAAGTAGGCTTTTACCACCATCGTGAGGGGCCGAATCTGGATAAATCGTGTCTCTCGTTCCGCTCAACCCTGACAAGCTAATCACCTAATTGCAATGACCTTACGACAAAGTCCTCACACTAAGACATCTGTCGTGACAAAACCACGACACTACTCATATGACTACGAGTGCCTCGGAGAGACCGAGCATCGACACCAAGTCTAGGAATTTAAACAACCATACAAATAAGTTACTCTCTCTGATTCATATTAAATGTCGTGGTTTTAGTTCAAATAGAAAATAAGGGACGGTAGCGCATACAAAACATGTAATAGAAGAGATATGTTGCTTTTTCTCCCAAAAGCGGCCACCACCCGGCAAGCGTCGTAAAAGCAATCTCAAAAAAGGAAAGAAAAAGAGGACCAAAGTGGCCGGGTTGCACCGCGCAGCAGGAATAACGGAAACAAAGCAAGGTCCAACTGCATCCTATTTTGAT